TGTGGTAGCTTGCAAGAGGGTCAACATCTCCTTCCACATGCTTTGCTGTGGTGCTCATGGCTTGGGGAGGCTGTTGGCATCTCCTTTGCTTTAGGAACATTTGGAGCCTCCTTGGCAGATGTTTGCTACCAACTTGGGTACCCGCTCTCACCCTGTATTGCCAGAGCTCATGTTTCTGGCCTAGCTGAACTCAGGGTTAGTCACTCCTTGAGAATTTGGATTTCCTCAGTGTCGTCTGGGAGCTGGAGTTCCTCCCTGCCTCAAGCCTTATTTTGTCCCAAGGGAATGTTGAGTCCTCTTGGGTCAGCTTTTTGGGGTAAAGTCAATTGAATTTAGTGTGTGGACTTTAGGTGCTGGAATCTGTACCTCAGTGGCACATGGATAGGGAGTAAAAACCATGTTTGGGAGGGTCTCCTGTTTGGTTAACATTGCAGTGTCAAGGGCTGAAGTTGATAGAAAACTGTCTGACTTCAGGTAGGCCTAGATTTTCATTCAGGTTTTGCAGATGACCAAAATTGCATGTCCCTTCTGCTCCTTTGAGATAGAGAAGCAGGAGCCACCTGTAGAAGTGTTTTCAGTTGTGTAGGCTTCTTGTTTAGCCATTCCTTCAGCATTCCTCTGTTGGGGTGGGGAATTGGGTCTTTCAGCTTTTCTGAGTGTTGGGTTTGTGGTTGGTTGGTTTGGTTTTCTCCAAACCAAGCTTGTAATGTTGGGAGGGTAGTTTGCTATCTTTTGTCACCTGTCTCTCATAAAGTTTTAAATTAGATCTTGCTTAAAAGTTGAGTAGAAATGCCAGGAAGGCAGCACTTGGTGAGAATCCTTCAGGAGAAGAAAGGTTGAACTCCTCCTTCACTCCTTGTTCAGTTCTGAATTATCATATAGATCTAGAAACAAGAAATGTAAGATGGGAGATTTTTTTGGATGTTGTGATGCTTATGTTGAAAGTCTTTGGCGTGAAGAGTAGGGTGGAAAGTCCGGACTTCTACACTGGGTAGGACAGCTCCTATCTCTTCCAGTCCTGGTGTCTGCATGGCAATGATGAGGAAATACCGGAGAGAACATGATCAGATCAGATCTGTAAAATATCCTGGTGCTGAGGATAAAGAAACTTGAGCCCTGCACATGAGTGGTTGGAAGTGCTAGTCAGGAGGGTTTTCAGACCCTTGGACACAAAAAAACCCTAATGTGAAGTTGGAGAAGATTCAACAATGAAAAAAGCCTTTTTAATGCTGAGAACAGCCTGGTGGAAGGGGATGGTGACTGCCTTCCTGCTGGATGTGGCTGCCATGTGGAGCCTCGGGCTGGTTTGATCAACATACCTTTGGGAAGAGGTTTCCATCAAGACCTGGATATGGTCAGTGCCAGGTCAGTCTTACTGCTTGTGCAAAGGCTTTGAGGGTTTTTGGGTGAGTACAGGGAAAGGTGAAGGAAGGGTTGGTGGGAGAGCTGAAGCAGGGAAGGGGCCTCACCCCAGCTGATGAGAAGGACACAACCAGTTCTTGTTGGCTCTCTGGGGTCCATGGGTATGGGACAGATCCAGCAGCCCAAGGGCAGGAAAGTCACTTTTAGGCACTGGAACAGGTTGTCCAGGGAGGTTGTGGCTGCCCCATCCCTGGAGGTGTTCAGGACCAGGTTGGATGGGGCTTGTGCAGCCTGGTCTGGTGGGAGGTGCCCCTGCTCATAGCAGGGAGTTTGGAACCTCATGATCTGTAAGGTCCCTTTCAACCTTCACCATTCTGTGATTCTATGATTCTATGCATCTAGAGGAAAAGGTTTGTGATCCATTATTTAAACTCACATCCCTGTTGGGATTTAAGGAGGTGTGTGACTTGTCTGGAAGGAAGGTGACCTGTCAAACTCTCCTCCATGTGACAGGGCTGCCTTCCCAGGCATGGTGATGGGGCTGCATCTCCCACATCCTCTCCTGGGCTTCAGCCACTCCTTTTGTCTTTGTGAGCTGGAAGTTTGGCATTGGGACTTTGCCCTTTTTGAATACAATATTGGGAATCCTCCTTAAAAATGAGAACAAGTGGAAGATCCTGTGATGCTCTTAAAATAGCATCTCAGCCAGGAGGAGCTCAGGTCATTTGCTTGGTATTCAGCACCATTTCATTTGGTCTCTGAACTCTTAAGCTCTTCCATCTTGAGCCAGCTCCTGGCTGTTGTGAGGACCACCAGGACAGTTTCCCTCCTGCCATATTGGCTGAGAAGGCCCTATTGCTCCTCTCTAAAGCATCTGGTGACCTGGAATTGGATTGAATCCCCCGGAGGAATATGTGCAACTTTGCTTTTGATCTGCCTGGTTTTACCATTTACATTTGTGGGTTTTTTTTGACCCCAAAAAAATGAAACACAAGATCTTTCCCCACACACCCCAATTAATTGAGTATTTACTTGCCAGTGGGGAATGTTCTCATGAATCACAGGCCCTTATTAAGGGTCCTTTAATTGGCTTTTTTATAATAAACCTTCAAGCCTTTTCCAGCTTGAGGAAAATTTCCAGCAAAACCTGTCAACTGAAAGCAGCAGCAGTCTCTGGATGAAAAACTCATCCCCACATCACCAGCGTTTCGCTTCTTGTGGGTGGGGGACCTGGGGTGTGGGACCACACCAGGGTAATTACAAGTCATCTCGTTAGCATGTCCAAGGATGGATAAATATACTCTGGGACTTGAAATGGCATCGAGGGGGAGCTGGGAACATAATGAAATCTCAGCACAAGTGCAGAGGGTTTGTCACTAACGTTCTCACTTCACAGTATGGTTTTATTTGATGTTTTTAATCTTGAATGTGAGATTGGAAGGGGGTGGTTGGGTATGTGCTGGAGCAGTTCAGCTAATGAAGGTCATACGGGAGTCTTCTCACTGTTTAGAGAAGAAGAGGAGCCAGACAGGGTTGAAACAGGAATGGAAGAGTAACTCTGGAATTGAGATTGGGGTTTTAAGGATTCCACCTGTCTCATGATAGCAAACAGTAAACTAACAGTGTCTCTAAAAAGAGAGGGCTTTAGGTCTGGGTTTGGTGGGTTTATAAACAACTTTGAGGTCTTAGAAGTTGGAAACTGTTGTAGAATGACTAAGGTTGGAGCTGGCTTCTGGAGGTCATTTGGTCTAAACTCCAGTTATGTCCCTGGTCTGCCCACAGGATTCCCAGGATTCCCACAGTGGGAAATAATCTGAGATAGGAGCACAGCAGCTGAGGAGACCAAAGAGACCAATGTAGAGCCTAGCAGAGGAGACAGGCTTAAAGATCTGCCTTATAATTTCCATAGGACTGTGACCTTATGCCCTCTGCTATGTGACCTTGGAGTCCTCAAAGGCCTCTTACCCATTTCCTGCACTGAAGGGTCACCTGCCTGAACATGTGAAGTGTTAGAACCTCTTGCTTTTGCTTTGGCACAAACAGATGCTGGAGGAACAGCAAGTGTTCATGTCCTATTCCCAGAAATGTCCCTGGCCAGAAACCAAGGCCACCACAGCAGGCACAATGTAGAAGTCCTCTAAAACAAACTGTTGAGCCTGAAGGGGAAAGGAGAGAAGGATTCAGGACAACCTCCCTAATGGTGAGCTGTGAAATGCAGAGGGAGTCACCACAAGGCCAGTGCTGATGGTGGCCAATAATCTAGGCTGTAGAGCTTGTCAGAAGAGACAGGCATTAAGGAGGGGGGCTGCCTTCTGAAAATCCAGTCATGGGAAGTTGGGAGAGCAAGTGGAAGACTTTCTTGGATGTTGGGGATGGCTTTAGGGTATGGTTGGCCTTGTTGTAGAAGAAGTGACTTTGGCAGCAGGAACAGCAAACTTCCTAGGAAGACTTTGAAGGCTTTGTGGTTAGAGGCAACACATGAAGAGCAACTTCAATGCTCTGGGGACTTAAATTACCCTCAGAGGAAGTGGGAAGTTCTCTAAGAAATACAGCCAGGTTTCTGTACCAAAGCTGGATGAGGTTACCTACTTTTCCTTCTGGAACTGCTTGCTCCATGGGAGTGCTGCATGTCTTCCACAGACTTCCCAAGTGTCACCTGGGAGTACAGCTAGAAGTTGCTGTGGATGTGTAGGTGCCTCCAGAAGCTGTCCTTCTGCCTTGTATGTGGGAATGGAAAAATTAATTACTTTCCTTTAACATGAAGTGCATCTAAAAGGGTTTGACCAAATACAGAAGGATTGGGAGGATTAATGTGTCAATCCCAGCATTGTTGTCCAAGATTTATTGTAGATCTTCAATAAATTCTTTCTGCTGAGGAGCAACATGACCCTGAGGTTGCTGAAAGGGGGATTTGTCTAACCAACCCCTCAAGCTTCCTCATGTTCTCGGACTCCTTGGTGGCTCTGGTTTGTGTTTCATGGCACATTGCCATCCTGCAATGCTGTTCAGGTACCAAATGCATTTTCTAACACTATTCAAAAGCTGCTCTGTAACCTTTCCATGTCCTTCTGGCAAGTGCCAGGAACACGGAAGTGACTTCTAGCAAAGCAGTTCTCAAGCCCGCTTGTCTCTCTGCATGGCTGTGAACTTGGGTCTCTGAGCAAATGTGTTTTCCTTGTCTGGGCAGTGAGACAGTTGGTTTTCCTCTTTCCCCACCCCTAAAAAACTCTGGCTCTGCTGTGATAGTCAGTCAATAACTTTCTTATTGGCTTTAGGGGCTTGAAACAGCCAATGCCAAAAGCTGTTAGAACAGTTCAGATCATGGTCCTGTGAGCTTTTTTTATCCCCAGAGCTCGGTCCCTCTCAGGTGCTCCTTGGGCAGGTAAAAATACTCGGGCTGAACAACCAGAGAGCAGTTTGGGGATGGTGGGACTCCCTTCCTGGGAAGCAGGAGCTGTGTCTTTGAACTTCAGCCCTGAGATAAGCAGGTTTTTGAGCCAAGTGGGTGGCCCGGGAGAGAGCTGGTGCAGGAGAAACCTGCTCCCTGTGGCTCAGGTGGCTGTCATGCTCCTGCCCTGCACCCACAGCTCCGTCCTGAGCAGGAGAGACCTCATCATTGCTCCAGAGAATGGTTTTAATACACATAAATCTCAAATCTAATTGGTGAAAAGAAACCATTTGCATTTATATAACTCCAGAGCTTAAATACACTTCTCTACCTTGCATAAATATATCTATAATTGCATGAAATAAATGCCTTTTAATATTTATATACAACCTGGTATTATTTCTGTGTGTATCCCTAACTGTCTATGCTTCAAACTGGAAAATATCAACCACTTCTGGGATAACATGGTTTGCATGAGCAGCTGATGCATTTAATTCAGCCACTTCTTCCAGGAGCTGCTCGTCTCCATGTCCTGAATCCTTCTGGCATCCGTTGATTTGCTGCCAGGAATTCAAAGGCTGTATGAGAACAGCATAAATGAATATTCCTCCTCTTTCTCAAGTATTCCTTCTGTCTACAAGCTGCCCCTCTTTCCTACTCCTCATGTAAAGGTCTATGAAAAGTCCTGCTGGATCATCCAGGGCTTTCCCAGACAGCTGCACAATTGTTCTCTGGTTTCTAGGCTTTGTCCCATCTAATTTTAAATACTACCTGATGTTTTTCTTGTGACTCCTTTTCTAAAATAAATAATCCAGGCATTTTTTTTGTTTACAAAGTGTCACCTTTGCTGTCCTGTCATGAGAAGCAGTGTTGGAGGATCCACCAGCCCATCTCCATCCCATCCCTGCTGGGTGGACGAGGGGATGGAACTGAACCCCATCAGTGTGACAACTTCGCTCCTTGTTTCCTTTGGCTTTTCAAGAATTTTGCATGGTGGCCAAATTGTTGTGCTGGTCAAGTACAAAATATGGGGCTTAACTTACCTCTTTTGGAAGGTTTTGGGGGTTTTGACCACTGAGGAGAGACGGACCTAAACATCCTTTAAAAAAATGAGTCTTGATGGGAATTGTCATCATTAGAATATCAGAAATTACAGTATATTTTTACATGGTGTTCTACAGATATGTAGATATACTAAAATAATACATATGGACTAAAAAATAATAAAATTGAATTATTTTAATGTTTCCTCCCCCTACCCCAATTTTTGGAAATGTATCAGGAAAACTGCAAGTGCTGGGTAGGAAGTTAAGCTCAAACCCTCCTTGAAACTGCAGAGTTGTGGAAAGTAGCCCCTTTCCTTGCTGCACAGGTAGTTGATGATAGAGTCATGAAATGGTTTGGGTTGGAAGGGACCTGAAAGATCATCTAGATCCAACCCCCCTGCATGGGCAGGGACACCTCCCACCAGCCCAGGTTGCTCCAAGCCCCATCCAACCTGCCCTTCAACATTGCCAGGGATGGGGCAGCCACAGCTTCTCTGGGCAACCTGTTTCAAGTAACCTTACCCCAAGCCTGCTGAGATTGTTCTTAACAAAATTAATATTATTTTAGTAGTTGGAAATAATTTTATTATCATTATTATTTAAATGAAATAGAATTTCTTGATTGTTATCTCAAGTGGCAGTTTGTGAAACTCCCCAAAAATCACATTAAACAAGTAACATTGATGCCTGAGCAATGAATGTAAGTGAAGTGCAGTGCAAAATTAATTCTTGAATTATTTTTTTCCTGCAAGGGCTGTTCTGGCTGTTGGAGTAGAACCAGGATTTGAGTTTTTTTCACTGGAAATGAAATTTTAGTTTGTTGGTCAATAATGTACATGAAAATAAGATAGAACTGGAGGGTATACTTTGTTTCTCAGGTGTTCTTGTAGCCCAAGTGGACTACAAGAAGGGTGGAGGTTTGGAGGGTAACTCCAGAATGTCTCTCTGTCTCTTTATATGCCTGACCATGATTCTTTGGTCCATATTTTTGGTCCAGGTTCCCAAAGGCACCGACCAGAACTGGGCTCAGAAACTGTACGACCGGCACGGCAGCAGCCAGCACTTCCAGAAGCCTCGCATGTCCAACACCTCCTTCATCATCCTGCACTTTGCTGACAAGGTAACCAGGTGCCTGCTACATGTGCTGGGAACTGAACACAGAAATGGGAAGGGTGTGGAGGGGGAAAGAAGAGCCATGTGAAGGAAAAATTAGTTTATAGCCCTGATATGATGCTTTTTTGGTGATGCCTGCTTGGCAGTTATCTTGGTTGTGCGCTCAGATAGAGACCAGCTTGGATCACAGGATGGTTAGGGATTGGAAGGGACCTCTTGAGATCATGGATTCCAAGCCCCCTGCCAGGGCAGGACCAGAGCAGGATGGATGGTCCATCCCTGGTAGTGTTGAAGGGCAGGTTGGATGGGGCTTGGAGCAACCTGGGCTGCTGGGAGGTGTCCCTGCCCATGCAGGGGGGTTAGAACTGGATGATCTTGAAGGTCCCTTCCAACTCAAACCATTCTATGATGACTTCAGCCTCCAAACTATTGCACTAAGCTTCAAAGAGCTGTGCTTTCTAGAGGAGAGAGAAATCCTCTTTCTCAAAGCTGCAGCAAAATCAATTTCTGAAAATATATTAGAAAAGGGAATTATTTTTGAAGAGTAGGAGCTCCAAGACTCAACAAGGCATGGTGGGGAAGAGCATGTGAGAGGTGACCCTGGGCTCATCCCACCCTTTTGAGGGTGAAAAATCCAACTGCAGGACTGTAAACCCCAGTGGCTGGTGCTGTAGGATCTCATCCATTGTCTACAGCTTTGTTGAAACCCTGGTGCAACAGGCATCACAGCAGCAAATAAGACTCATACACACAATGAATTGTTCTGGTTAGAGGAGACCTTGAAGATCAGCTTGTAGTTATCCAAAGCACAGATTTGTTATAAAGGAAAATGTGAAACCAACCTGGATACATGGCCAGTCAACATGTAGGAGCTGTGATCCCTTACAGGTGCTTCACCTCACCAGGGTTTCCCTGGATCTCAGCAGCACTGTTTATGGCCAAAGTGGATACTCACCTTTCCTTAGGCATATGCTTTGCACGTGGATCTTTCAGAAACAATTAATTTTTGCAAGTTTTCCCCCTTTTTTTTTATTTTCATGCTGAATTATTTCAGCTAACTTCACATGTACAAAATAAAATGTTCTTGTGTCCTTTCTAAATCCTCCCTTTGCATCCGAACCTTCTGTAATTTCAAAACTAAGAAGTGTAGCCAGGTCATCTTTGGAGGTTTATTGATCAGCTTGCAAGGAGCTGAGGAGAGAGCAAAAGAGCACAAAGAGGGAGTGATGATCTTTGCATTTTTAGCCCTGGTTTCCAAGTGCTGTTGCGTCCCCCACAGAGCACTAATGACCAAGAAACAGTCTGGTTTTGTAGCAAGGATTTTGCTCTTATTCAGAATTCACTTCTTTTGATACAAAGTGACTTTTAATTCCAGTTCTTCCCCCGCTCCCAGCTTCTCCCTCTCAGGTTTTTCAGGTGAGCTCCAACAGTTGGGTTGGGGTGGGATGAAGCATGTTGTCCCCGTGCAGCTGGACTCTTAAGTTTCTTCCTTTGTCTCCTGCTAGGTGGAGTACCAGAGTGAGGGATTTCTGGAGAAGAACAGGGACACTGTGTATGAGGAGCAGATCAACATCCTGAAGGCCAGCAAGGTAAAAGCAGCGAGTCGGGAGATCCTTGGCACCAAAACCACAAGTGTGGGCTTTCATAGTGAAGAAGTTCTTTGCTGAGGGTGGTGAGACACTGGAACAGGTTGGATGGGGCTTGGAGCAGCCTGGTCTGGTGGGAGGTGTCCCTGCCCATGCAGAGGGGTTGGAACTGGATGATCTTGAAGATCTCTTCCAACCCAAAGCAGCATGAGTTTCTGTGATTCTGTTCCCCTTTAGGCAATACACAGGGCAAGGGGGGAACACTTAATTTAAACACCACAAGGACTTCAAACCCTCTCTGTCAGCACCTGCATGGCTAATGAAGTGCTCCCACCAAGGCAGCAGTTCTTTCTGCTAATTAGAAAGCAATTAATGCTGTCAAGGAGATGGTGAGACATTAGAAATCAGCTAATGAGGTTTATTAGTGCTGGTCAGCTAAACCAGTTGGGAGTTGATGGTCTTTGAATTAAGGCAACTGATTTGATTACTCATTGAAAGCATGTGGGTGTGCTGGTAGGATGTTACCTTCCAGTCTTCAGTAATTATGGATTGTGCACCGATGGTTTGAATTCTGCTGATGGGGAAGGAGACATCTTGTCCTCTAGCATCTGTGGAATAGATCCTGGGCTAATTCAGATGGTCCCAGTTACAGCAGTTCTGCTTTAAGGAAGCTGGAAGGTCACCTCTGAGATGGTTGTCAAACGTATTTGTGCAGGAGCAAGAGCTCTTGGTATTCATAGCAAGTGGGCAGAGAGGTTGATGGCAGGGTCAGGCTGGATGTGGTGTGAGCAACCTGATTTGGAATCATGGAATGGTTTGGGCTAGAAGGAACCTCAAAGATCATCTAGTTCCAACCCCCCTGCATGGGCAGGGACACCTCCCACCAGCCCAGGTTGCTCCAAGCCCCATCCAACCTGCCCTTCAACACTGCCAGGGATGGGGCAGCCACAGCTTCCCTGGGCAACCTGGGCCAGGCTCTCACCACCCTCACAGCAAAGAATTTCCTCCTCATGTCTCACCTCAATCTCCCCTCTTCCAGTTTTAATCCATCCCCTCTTGTCCACTTACTACATGCCCTTGTCAGAAGTTGCAGATTTCTCTGCTCACTGTAGGGAGTTTGGACTAGATGACCTTCAAAGATCCCCTCCAACCCAAACCAGTCTGTTATTCCATGACACTCCCAACTATGCCTTGAAGATCTTTTGAAACCTGAAATCTCAGCTGGGGGTTTCACCACATTGTCAAGCACAAGCTAGTGAAGTCAAGCCCACGTTGGGTGTCTTGCCGCATCAAGCATGTGCTTCCCAAGCATCCCATGTTTCCAGGAGTCAAACACCCAAGACAGTGACATGTCATGAACAGGTAAGATAGAAATAAAAGCTGGGAGTGTGGAGCAGGTTCTTAGCAGGGGCTGTCCTGGAGCCTGCCAGCAATTTGCTCATTCAGTGCCAAGAGTTTCCTTGCCACAGTGGTATTTAGGCTGCTGTGCTTGCAAGCTCTGCAAACAGCCTGCAGGATCAGGGCTGGAAATATTTGTCAGTCCAGGGATGGGGCAGAAGGCTAGGAAGAAACCCTTCATGGCACAAGGCTCTGTTAATGTCCATCAAGTGGTAATAAAGCCTTGAATTCTTCTTGGGATCTTAATGGAAATAAAAGTCAAGCTCAGCTTTTGGAGGAGCTTGGGATGGAGGGAAGAGGCAGTGCAGGCTCTGCTGCCTAATATTGGTGTTTTCTGCATGGGTATGTCACACATGGAGTGCTATGGATGAGGGGTGTTGGTGTCCTCTCCCACAGATACTCCAGAGTGGGTATTGCTGGTGGCCTGTGTGCTGATGGGACAGCATCAAGGGGGCTTCAGCAGTGTCACCAGGCTGGAGCCCACCACTTTCAGCTTGGTGACATGTGAAACCCCCACCTTGTGACAGTGGTTTTCTTGTATTTAAGAACTGATGGTTTGAATCCAAGCCCAGCTGCAGTGGGAACCAGTGTGGATGCAGAGCTGGAGATGAGATGTGAAAATTTCACAGCTCTTCTAAACAGACCAGATTTCCTGTGACTTTTGTGATCAGATTCCCCAACCTCATTAAAATTTGAAGATCCTGCCCCATAAAAAAAAAAACCCAAACAAACATTAACTCAGTTTGCCAGCTCATCTGTTCTCCTATTTATGAAGTAGAAATGTTGCTGCCTGGCTTGTCCAAACCCCCAGACTTCAGGGATCTGAGGAGCTAAATGTGGGGCTTTCAGGGCTTTGGAATGGCAGTCCTGCTGTCACATTGCTCATTCATCATGAAATGCAGGTAATTAGTGAGGAAGTGCTGGTGTCTTAATTATTCAGGAAAGCAAAGGTGCCTTTGGGGCTGTGGTGGGAACAGGCTGCGTGTCCTCATGTGAAGGCCATGTTCCTTGAGGATTTGCTGTGCTCTGAGCTAGATGAGCACCTGCTAAAGAAGCTTGGGAACAAGAGTTCCTCGTGTTCATGAGTTTTTGTGCCTTGGACAACACTTCAGCCATCCAGCCTTGCAGCTGGCCATCTTACTTTTTTTCCCCTGTTTGATTTAATATGCACATTTCATGGTCTGATGAACTACAAACCAGAATTGCCAGTGGTCCTGCTGACATGGTTTATGTAGGCAATGCTGCTTGCTTGGACTTTATTGCCCTTCCTGATTTAAGATGGGCAAAAAAGCATGAAATCATAGAATGCTTTGGGTTGGAAGGGACCTTAAAGATCATCTAGTTCCAACTCCCCTGCATGGGCAGGGACACCTCCCACCAGCCCAGGTTGCTCCAAGCCCCATCCAACCTGCCCTTCAACACTGCCAGGGATGGGGCAGCCACAGCTTCCCTGGGCAACCTGGGCCAGGGTCTCACCACCCTCACACCAAAGAATTTCCTCCTCATGTCTCACCTCAATCTCCTCTCTTCCAGTTTTAATCCATTCCCCCTCATCCCATCCCTCCCTGCCCTTGTCCCAAGTCCCTCCCCAGCTTTCCTGGAGCCCCTTCAGGCACTGGAAGCTGCTCTAAGGTCTCCCTGGAGCCTTCTCTTCTCCAGGCTGAACACCTCAACTCTCCCAGCAGAGCTGCTCTAGCCCTCGGGTCACCTTCAGATGACTAGAGCAATGTGACTTGTGTGGGCTCACCCAGCAAAGAGCAAGGCCAGAGGTGCTCACAAGTTGTCTTTTGTTTTAGTATCAAATGGTAGCAGACTTGTTCCAAGATGAGAAGGATGCTCCACCCACCACTTCCATGGGCAAGGGAACATCCAAAATCAGTGTCCGTTCTGCCAGACCAGTAATCAAAGCTGCCAATAAGGAGCACAGGAAAACAGTGGGACACCAGGTAATGTCTGACATGAGCAAGGTTGGCCGATGGCAGGGGAGTGGGGCACGAGAATCCAGGGACATTTTTTAGAGAAGAGAACTTGTTTCTTCAGTCTGAAGCAGTGATAAGTAAAAAGCTGTTAGGGAGGACCTTCCCATGACCTGTGTTTGTGGGAACCATTTGGCTGTTCCATTTTGGACACCTTCTACCAGCATCTCTGGAAGAGCAGGCTCAAGTAGTCTTGACTGGAAGCAGTTGAGATAAGGTGTGAGGGGAATGGAAGCCAATCTGGGATTCACTGGACTGCGTCCCCATGGCCTGTGGTTCTCATAAATTTAAACAACTTGAGAAAATGAGCATTTTTTTTCTCCCATGTGGACAGTCAAGCAATGCAAAAGAAGCCCAGACAGGTTGTGCTGCCTCTACCCTCTGAGATTTTTCAAGACCTTACTGGGTCAAGTCTTGACTGCCTGTTCCTGCTCATGGCCCTCACTGAGCTGGAAACCCTCAAACCATGGGTGTCTTCTCTGAATTCCTCATGCATGTGCTGGGTGATGGGAAAGTTCATGCCATGTCACATACAGAGACTGGCACCTGATGTGTCTTGTGGCACCTGCTAGGTAGGGTTGCAAGGTGCAACTCCTTCATCCCTCCTCAAAACCAGTGGCTTTGTCTTTCAGTTCCGCAATTCCCTGCATTTGCTCATGGAGACTCTGAACGCCACCACGCCCCACTACGTGCGCTGCATCAAGCCCAACGACGAGAAGCTGCCCTTCAAGTAAGTGAGCTGGCAGCTCAGAGAGTGCTTTGGGTGGGATTGGACCTTTCAGATCATCTACTTCCAACCCCCCTGCATGGGCAGAGACACCTCCCACAAGCCCAGGTTGCTCCAAGCCCCATCCAACCTGCCCTTCAACACTGCCAGGGATGGGGCAGCCACAGCTTCTCTGGGCAACCTGGGCCAGGCTCTCACCACCCTCACAGTGAAGAACTTCTTCCTAATCATGGAATGGTTTGGGTTGGAAGGGACCTTAAAGATCATCTAGTTCCAACCCCCTGCAAGGGCAGGGACACCTCCCACCAGACCAGGTTGTACAAAGCCCTGTCCAGCTTGGCCTTGGACATCTCCAGGGAGGGGACAATGTCTCAGTATCTCTTGGCATCAGTACTGGGGGAGTAGTGAGGTGCCTTCCACTTGAAGAACACAATGTCTTGTGGCATAGAGGGGCAACACGGGGCATCTGTGCAGGGTGTTCCCAAAGCAAGCCATGGGAGTTGTGTATGGTCATCCTGAGGTTTGCTATGGTCAAAAATCCGTGGAGCCCTGTGAAACCCGTGCACTGTGGTCCATATGATACACTGCCAAGGATCCCAACAGAAACCTTCTTGTGAGTGCTTTGGAGAAATGTTGTGATTTCCTCCTCCCTCTGCTGATCTCTCTCCCCACTATCACTGCAGGTTTGATCCCAGGAGAGCAGTGCAGCAGCTGAGAGCTTGTGGAGTGTTGGAGACAATCCGCATCAGTGCTGCTGGCTTCCCTTCCAGGTACCTGCTGGGAATTGGCTGTGCCACCATGCTCAAAGTTCATTATCTGGGCTGAGGGAGGGAGAAGAAAACACCAACATTTTTCAGAACAAACAGGTTTTAAATATATATTTTTTTTCCCCCCCCTCCCTTTTTAATCCATTTATTTTACAAGTGTTGCCCTAGAGGACTTCTTCCCTGCTTGCCTGAAGCTGCCCATCCGAAAGCTCCTTGCACTGGAGAGTTTATTTTCCTTTTATTCTTTTTTTTTGTTGTTGTTGCCAATAGGTATTTTAGCCCCCCCCCAAATGTTGATTCTTCTTGCAGAGAAAGAAAAGAAGGGTTGTAAATCATTCTTGCAGTCTTTCCCCCCCACACATCCCAAGCACACTAACCTTCAGTCTTCCATCTTCCAAAAGGGAAGGTTATGGGTGGTGTGGCTTTTGCTGATGGTGATAGAATATTCCAAAGAGGTTTTTAGGGCCCAAATAAATCAGAAAACATAAACTATAAATAAGCCCTGAAGATGACAAGGGCGAGTGATTCTAAAAATGCACCCTTTGCTTTTCAGTGCCAAGCAGCTTTGTGTTCATGTCAGCAGAGCCATCAGGCTTTTTGTGGGCAACAAAGGAGTTCTAAATATGCTCAGCAAAGAGGCAGCTGAGCATGGTGGTGAACACCATGAGGAGCTCCTTGCCCAGGTTTTTGGGGAGGGGGGAGCTGCCTGCTGGTTCCCCTCATCTCATGTGAAACTGGAGGTCTTGGCTGCCTCTGACAGTTGTTGGCAACTCCCATGTGTGGACAGGAATCATAGAATCACAGACTGGTTTGGGTGGGAAGGGAATTTCAAGGCCTTCCAGTCCAACCTCCTGCAGTGAGCAGGGACATCTGCACCTAGATCAGGTTGCTCAGAGCCCTGTCCGACCTGAGCTTGGATGTTTCCAGAGATAGGGCATCTCCCACCTCTCTGAACAACCTCTCACCACCCTCATCATAAAAAACATCTTCCTTCTCTCTAGTCTGAATCTCCCCTCTTTTATTTTAAAACCATCACTCCTTGTTCTGCTGCAACAGCCCCTGCTAAAAAGTTTCACCCCATGAGATGGGGACCCAGGGGAAACCTCTACCAGTCAGTGACTTCCATGCATAGGAAAAGCTAGTGCTGGGGATCTCCCTGAGCAGCTGAGCTCATCACCTGAAGGAGGAAAAAAGATAAAAAAGACAAAAAGAACTTTAATAAAAACCACTGTTTCTTCTCCTCTGCCAGCATGGGAAGGTGGCAGAGAGGTGAATGGAGATTTAGGTCCTTCCATGGGGGGCTGCTGGTCTTGTTAGAAGACCCAGCCCCACCTTTGGCTCCCATCTCTGAAGTCTTCAAGGCATTTGTAGAATTGACTCCACAAATAAAATAAAAAGAAAGAAAAAGTTTTATCTTTTAATAAAAAGTTGCTCCTAAATGTCATGATCTCGAAGGCATGAGGGAAAATTAAAAACCACCCCATGAGTTGAGTCTTGTATTATCATTTTAATTAAAGCAGCTGCAGGTTCAAATCCACCTGTCTGTCCCCTTGCAGTGAAAGCCCTGGAGCAGTGAAGCTGCTGTGGTTTTGTTCAGAAAAAAACAGAGAAATGCAGTTTTATGCTCCTTAAGCAAATAGTTTTGTTCCCCAGTGCAGTGGGTGCTCCTGGCTCTGCAGTTCTGGGTCTCAGGGAGGTTTGGGGAGCTCTGACTTGAAGGTTTTGCTGCTGGTCTTAGCAGAGCTGCAGAGAGACCTTGTTCCTCTCCACTCGCAATTGTCCTAAAAACTTGAAGCATTTTGCCATGGTATAATTAGTAACTGGGGAGGTTGGGGGCAGAGGGGAGAAACCACTACAGCACCTGGAGACCAGCCAAGATCTATTTCTGGCGAACAATTGACTGGTGTGAAGACCTCTCCACCCTGAAGACTCCAAAGGGAATGCCTTTGGCTCTGCTTATGTGCTTCTGGTGATGAGATCCTTTCGTTTCATTTTTTTTCCCCCAGGATGTTTAAGAACACAAAACTCTTCCATCACTGCAACTTGTCAGCTTTTTTTTTTTCCTTCCTCCAGGGAAAAAAAAAACAAACAACCAAACCCAACCAATAAGGGTGCAAACAGCTTTTTCAGCCTTTCAGAGTGACCTTCCCCAGTGTGTGGGGATGCTTCAAGGGCAGATTTATTGTCATGTTTCTAGAAGATAATTGCATGTGGCAACAGCTCTGCATGAAACTTATTGATACTCACTTTGGGTTTTGGGAGTGTTTCACTTTTCCTTAGTCATAAAATAACCATCTTGAAAAGCCAGACCCAGGAACTGGGCAATTTCATTGAAGCATTGGGAATAAACTGTGTATTTGAATTATGATTTTTAAGCCAGCTTGGCAAAAGCTGCTTCCACAGAATCTTATTCTGTGGGAAATGTAATAGAAATTTTAATTCTTAGTTTTCCAGTGCATGAGATCAGTCTCAGTTGTCATCACAGCCAGTGTTGATTATTTCTCCATAATTCTGTTTTATTTTCAGGCAAGTAAGGTTGTAATGGTTGATTAACAGCAAGAAGGAGGGTCATTGCTTCAAATTTAAACCCTGTGTGAAGGCTAGAAATTGAAATCACTTAAAATAACAACAGGAAACTTGATCTTTGTCAAATTCGCTTTGCTTGGGTGTCAACAATTTGCCTTGAGAGCAAGAGGGAATTGTCAACGTGTTTTATCTTGGGAGAAGTATGATTATAGAAAGAGGAGAAAATATTTCTTTTCATCCTACAGTGTTTAGATCTGAATGTTTTCCAGTGTAGTCTGACAAGAGTAACTTCTGAGGGTGATGTTTTGGGTCAGAGATCTCTGAATAAAGCCACTTCCTACCTTTATTTCATGCTTCTCCATCAGTGCTACTTTACGAGTTGAAGAGTTGAGTGTTGGGCTGAGGAGCTGGAGGGTTGTTGGGCTGAGGAGCTGAATGTCTTGAGGCTTCAACAATTTTTACCTGGTTCCCTGGAGAAAAAGAACAAGTTTTAATAAGTTTTTAGTGTTCTTCATCCCCTGCAAGACACGATTATGTTCCCCTTCATCCCTCCTCAAAACCAGTGGCTTTGTCTTTCAGTTCCGCAATTCCCTGCATTTGCTCATGGAGACTCTGAACGCCACCACGCCCCACTACGTGCGCTGCATCAAGCCCAACGACGAGAAGCTGCCCTTCAAGTAAGTGAGCTGGCAGCTCAGAGAGTGCTTTGGGTGGGATTGGACCTTTCAGATCATCTACTTCCAACCCCCCTGCATGGGCAGAGACACCTCCCACAAGCCCAGGTTGCTCCAAGCCCCATCCAACCTGCCCTTCAACACTGCCAGGGATGGGGCAGCCACAGCTTCTCTGGGCAACCTGGGCCAGGCTCTCACCACCCTCACAGTGAAGAACTTCTTCCTAATCATGGAATGGTTTGGGTTGGAAGGGACCTTAAAGATCATCTAGTTCCAACCCCCTGCAAGGGCAGGGACACCTCCCACCAGACCAGGTTGTACAAAGCCCTGTCCAGCTTGGCCTTGGACATCTCCAGGGAGGGGACAATGTCTCAGTATCTCTTGGCATCAGTACTGGGGGAGTAGTGAGGTGCCTTCCACTTGAAGAACACAATGTCTTGTGGCATAGAGGGGCAACACGGGGCATCTGTGCAGGGTGTTCCCAAAGCAAGCCATGGGAGTTGTGTATGGTCATCCTGAGGTTTGCTATGGTCAAAAATCCATCAAGCCATGGAAAACCCATGCACTGTGGTCCATATGAGATACATTGCCAAGGATCCCAACAGAAAACTTCTCGTGGATGATTTGGAGGGATGTTGTGGGTTCCTCCTCCCTCTGCTGATCTCTCTCCCCACTATCACTGCAGGTTTGATCCCAGGAGAGCAGTGCAGCAGCTGAGAGCTTGTGGAGTGCTGGAGACCATCCGCATCAGTGCTGCTGGCTTCCCTTCCAGGTACCTGCTGGGAATTGGCTCTGCCATCGTGCTCCAAGTTCATTATCTGGGCTGAGGGAGGGAGAAGAAAACACCAACATTTTTCAGAACAAACAGGTTTTAAATATATATTTTTTTTCCCCCCCCTCCCTTTTTAATCCATTTATTTTACAAGTGTTGCCCTAGAGGACTTCTTCCCTGCTTGCCTGAAGCTGCCCATCCGAAAGCTCCTTGCACTGGAGAGTTTATTTTCCTTTTATTCTTTTTTTTTGTTGTTGTTGCCAATAGGTATTTTAGCCCCCCCCCAAATGTTGATTCTTCTTGCAGAGAAAGAAAAGAAGGGTTGTAAATCATTCTTGCAGTCTTTCCCCCCCACACATCCCAAGCACACTAACCTTCAGTCTTGCATCTTCCAAAAGGGGAGGTTATGGGTGGTGTGGGTTTTGCTGATGGTGATAGAATATTCCAAAGAGGTTTTTAGGGCCCAAATAAATCAGAAAACATAAACTATAAATAAGCCCTGAAGATGACAAGGGCGAGTGATTCTAAAAATGCACCCTTTGCTTTTCAGTGCCAAGCAGCTTTGTGTTCATGTCAGCAGAGCCATCAGGCTTTTTGTGGGCAACAAAGGAGTTCTAAATATGCTCAGCAAAGAGGCAGCTGAGCATGGTGGTGAACACCATGAGGAGCTCCTTGCCCAGGTTTTTGGGGAGGGGGGAGCTGCCTGCTGGTTCCCCTCATCTCATGTGAAACTGGAGGTCTTGGCTGCCTCTGACAGTTGTTGGCAACTCCCATGTGTGGACAGGAATCATAGAATCACAGACTGGTTTGGGTGGGAAGGGAATTTCAAGGCCTTCCAGTCCAACCTCCTGCAGTGAGCAGGGACATCTGCACCTAGATCAGGTTGCTCAGAGCCCTGTCCGACCTGAGCTTGGATGTTTCCAGAGATAGGGCATCTCCCACCTCTCTGAACAACCTCTCACCACCCTCATCATAAAAAACATCTTCCTTCTCTCTAGTCTGAATCTCCCCTCTTTTATTTTAAAACCATC